ATCAGTGAGTTTGCCGTGCCCTGACTCGTATCAGCCTAGAACTTGTTTTAGGTTTCGATAAACTTCGTGCTTGGTTTTTTCACGGAAAGAGGGAATTCATTAATTCTCGCAATTGCGCGCTACCCCCCCCCCCCTCCTCCCCTCCAAACTGTGTATTCGCTCTTATTTTCTCAGCTCATAAATCAACCTTAGTTACTACTACAGCATTCAGCTGATGTGCCAAAAAAACTAGTTTTTCTTATCCTATTTAATGCCCCTATTTTGAAATAGATTCTGATTTAATCTTCTAGAAATCAACCCTCTGGACTACTGCTATCGAGCCTTGGGAGCCCACGTGGAGCTAATGGACTGTGAATCTGATGAATGTCAACAAATCTTGAAGTACATCCACAACTCCAAGGGTACGGTTTTTTACATTCATCATTTGTCTAAATGTGATAGTATTAATTCTGGTAGAGTAATTTTATTTAAACCGYGAAAGAAAAATTACTATTTAGTTAGTACTAGTTCATAAAAAAAGGAGAAAAGGTTTAAAGTCTACTACTAAGTATTATGCGTACTATTATGCGTACAATTACTCGACATCAAATGTGAGTAGATTTTGTTAGGTCTCCCCCGCCCCCCGGTTAGCCCAGAGGTTGTTTCAGGGTTGGATCTGTGAGTTAGCCGTGCCCTGACTTTGATCAGCCAAGAGGTTGTTCCAGGGTTCAATCTGTGAGTTAGCCATGCCCTGACTTCGATCAGCCCAGAGGTTGTTTGAGGCTTCGATCTGTGAGTTAGCCGTGCCCTGACTTAAATCAGCCCAGAGGTTGTTTCAGGGTTGGATCTGTGAGTTAGCCGTGCCCTGACTTAGATCAGCCCAGAGGTTGTTTCAAGGTTGGATCTGTGAGTTAGCCGTGCCCTGACTTAGATCAGCCCAGAGGTTGTTTCAGGGTTGGATCTGTGAGTTAGCTGTGCCCTGACTTTGATCAGCCCAGAGGTTGTTTCAGAAAGTTTTTAAGATGGATATCGTGGTGGAATAATTTTTTTGCTCTCCTCGATGTTCGTCAATAACGATTTCATTTTCACACCACCAGCAACTGGCAGAAGCCACTTTAAGTTCGATGTACAATCCATATACCGCATCTCTCGACCCGGAGAGAATCAGCTCATGACGTCATGTGGTGTACCGTCCAATYATCGACTACTATGGCATGGAACCAAGACTGCTAACCTGATKGGGATCCTTAAACAGGGACTAMGAATYGCACCTCCAGAGGCACCCACCACAGGATGGTCCCTTGGCAAGGTAAGCAAATCTACTTTTTAATTTTTTTTGTTCTCTCAATAGACTTCTTTACATCGGGCGCAATGTTTTCAAAATAAATACCCACGTGTCATTCTCTTGAATAGGATTCTTTGTTTAAGTTGTATCCATATTCATTTGTTTTTGCATTCACAACCATTGAACTAAAGAAATGCTAATCTAGATAGGGAGTGACACGTGGTCCGAAATAGGAGAAAATTACTGTGTTTGAGCTGTATCCATATCCATGTGTCTTCTCATGCGCATCCGTTAAATTGAAAGAAATGATACTCAAGGGAATAATACGTGGTCTGTAATGGGAAAACATTTCACCTAAGATTAAAGGTCCATTTTCTCTGTGCTTCTTTCGTCTGGGACAACTGGGTTTCCTGTTTCATTTCATTATACTTTGTGCATATTTCTTTCTTTGCAGGGTATTTATTTCTCAGAYAGCTTAGAAAAGTCTCTCAGTTACTCTGACCTTAATGATTATCGTGGAAACAACACTGGCTTTGTTCTGCTATCTGAAGTAAGTAAATCACAAGAGAAATGTGCTTATTGTGTCACWTGCTTAAATAGCTGTCGCTAATTACTCAGTCAAATTGCCAATGTCCTGTATGAATGAGTTATCTACAGATGTTTTGACTTTTTTTATTTTTTCAATTTTCATTTTATCTCAGTTTTTGAATCATTTTTCTTCAGGTCGCTTTGGGTAGTCAGTACGAATATCAACCCGGCTCCTACGATCCAACCAAGGGTCYCTCAACAGGTTACAACAGTATGTGGCTCACCACCAAAAAAATTCCCSATCCTTCCCACGATGTGACCACGCCCTACGGTGCTGTCATTSCCTCGGGTCCCCACATCGATAACATCCCGCTGATAGAGAAGTATAAACAAAAGAAAAAGCCCTTGCAAAGTGGTTGGTACTCTCACAATGAATACGTGGTGTATAGTGAGGCGCAGGTTCAGCAGAGATACATTGTCTGTTTAAAAAAATAAACTGAGAAGATAGGAGATTGAACCAATAAGCATGCACACAAAAAAACACWACTATCAATTACGATGCTTGGAGTTTGGAAGCCATTTCTATGCATGTCTTAAATACATTTCGTTACTAAAAAAACATTGGGAAAATTGCAGTCAAATGGCTTTCCAGTTGGACCAATTAGAAAACGTAACGAAAAAAAAAACCCCAACTAATTAGGGTGCTTGAATCTAGAATCCATTTCCGTGTATTCKTTAGTCAAAAAAACGTGGGGGAATTGGCAGTCAAATGGCTTTTTAGATGGACCAATAAGTAAGCATTTACAAAGACACAAACCAATCACAGTGCTCGAATCTGATAGCAATTTCAGTGTCATCCGTACATTTCCTTACTCTAAAAGTAGGAAACGTAGGGAAAAAGTGACAGTCGATTGGCTTACCTGTTGAAGAAGCACGAAAAAAGGCCCACCAATCGCAGTGCTTGAATCTGGAAGCCATTTCAGTGTTATCAGAACCTTTCCTTACTCAGTAACTAAGAAACTGTACACTATGATACTATTCAGTTATTTCAAGAAATCTTTTTTTTTTCTTATTTTACTTCCTTCACACGCTTCCCTGCTTGGCAGGTTCCCTTATTCTCTTTTTGCTACGAGAAGGAAACCTCTGCCAAGAACGGTTATCACTTTGCACCCTGGGTTGATATTTGCTCACTTCATAATGAATATTAAACTATAGACATACCAAGCAACAGAATTTGAGAAATTCTTAGAATAATATTATAAAAATCRATCATCAATTTCCTAGAAATTTAAAAATTAGGTCTAAAATTTAAGAAATTTTAAGGTGTCGTTGAAAAAATTCGTAAAACTTGATTATTCTAGATCATTAGTAATAATGAATAAGTTGATAATAAATTGAAATAAATAAAAATATTAGTTTCGTTTTCTATGGTAACGCAGGGTTCTGAAGAAAACCCAGAGATATTTTCACTGAATTAGTATCGTACTTGAATAGAATTCGTTATCAATAGGTTTATATTATTAGATTTAAATTTATTAGGTTGCCATATGCATTAATTGTAATAAGGAGTGAGAGACAAGCACTCTAAAAACCAGTCAAAACTTAAAGATGCAGTCAGCTAATTTTTGTTCATAGAGGCTTTGCAGCATCAAGTGATGAWAGGAGGCAGGAACAATTKAATCTGGTCTAATCTGATTTAAATGAGAAAGAATTCAGTTTCCCAGGAGAAAAAGATGCTATTGTTGTGCCTCCTKYYATGGCTGCCRTCACGTGATGGTGCAAAGGCTGTATAGTTTAGCACAATAATTATAGTTTTAAATAGTCTGTAATAATCAGGAGTGTTTTATCTGGTTCAAAACCACCATAAGCATAGCCGGAGAGTTTTTCATTATATTCATCGTGGCTAGAAATACAGAAATCTCTCGATTCATACACAGTATTCATATCTTATATATACCATGTCGTGGAAATAGAAAAATAAAATAGCTGTTAGTACAGTTAGTCTGGTGCTTGTGTGAAAAAAATAAAACAGAACTCCACTGGCAATAATTGGTTTAATCTTTTATTTTTGCATCTGCAGATACTTTCAGGGCTCGTAATGGTTTCGTTAAAAAATTCCTTTTTGATTAACTGTTCTTATAAAGTACATGCATTACATGCATTCTAATAGCGGAGCGGATTTCGTATGAGTGAGGAAACCTAAACTTTGAAATTGGATGAATGGGAAGCCATTTCGATGCTAAGGTATGCCACATGGAACAAATGCTCTGGTACAGGACTGTATTTTTACATATACGAATACCACTCCACCACATTTACATCTAAGTCGTTTAGGATACACCGAAAAAGTAGACAAGATGGGGAATGCATTTTTTTCCTGTTTGAAATTTTACATTTGCACAGATTAAAACAAGGGCGACTTTTTAAGGCGACGAGTAAAATATATGAAAAATATTATTTAAAAGATTTGCAATATGTCCATGTTATTTTCTAAAAACAAATAAGATATAGTTCTCCATAAAATGCTTCGTCGTTTTCTGGAATATTCTAGGATAGCTCGACATGTCCTTGAGGGACAGCAGTATTCAGTGAAGCCATCATGTACGACTCTGTGGAATTCTCTGGCCTAACGAATACAAAGTTACATCATTCCACTCGGCCCGGCTTGCGAGAAGTTGACGAGGAATCGACTAGCGTCCTGTTGACTTGGAATATTCTGAGTATCTGTCAACCCTGCTTGAGATACGACACCAACCCACTGAAAAAAAAAGTGAAAGCTAAACTGTTAAAGCACTTTCATTGGATGGACGGTGTTCGCGCGTACTCTGATTGGTTCAAAGAATGTTACCGTAACCGTGCCGTATGCCGTCCCGTTTCACAGTCACACAAAAACGGGGAAGAGAAGGAATGGCGATCTTAATGAAAGCCAAAGATTAAGTAATTATCCCATACCTTTTAGATGAAAAGTTTTGACCTACCCCGCTTTGTCTTGAGTAAAAATTCAAGTAATCCTCGCAAGTCCATTCCTTCCTAGCCTATTCTTTTGAAAGGCTTCGAATTCATAAGTGCACCCCTTGATTCTCATTTCCCAAATAAATTTTACAACGGTACTTGATAAATTTTACCTCCGTTAACGAGTGTTCTTGCAGCTTTCGAGCCTGCATATGGTCTGCAAATAGATAAAAAGTCGGATAAATATGCCAGAATAACTATAACAACTTTATAAAGGAGAAACAAATGTTTATTACTTACTTTCTATGAGTTGTTTCGTTATATTGTGATGTCGATGRAAACTTTCTCTTGCTTGTACAGGATCGCCTAACATATTATATAGATCTGAAAAATAAAAATAAAATATRGTYATGATCTGRCATAAGAAAWAYCAATTTGATATTCATATATTTATTTATAAAATAACTGTTGACTATAGCATTCTGATTGGTTGGGAGCGCGTGCTTTATGAGAGCGCACAGCACGCACGCGCCCTTTGCATTTTATAAATGAAATAAAAAACTTGCTTGCTGTGCTGTGTGGAGTTATAAAGCACTTGGGATGGGCAAAACACTCGAGAAGTGTCGAGAAGCTTCACGCTTATAGCACGTCGTGCTTCTCCTAATACTTCTCTCGTGTTCTGCCAATCCCCGCGTGCTTTATAACTGCACACAGCACGCGCGCGCAATTCTGTAAAGGTATTTTCTATACA